AATACTGCTACACAACTTAAAGTATGCCAGAAGTAGATAATAGGCTATAATAAGCATAAGATATTAAGCTTGCATCTGCCCTCTGGTGGCCATGTGTCCAATTACATTTAAATTAGAGCGGCAAGAAAAATAATGCTCTGGAGGAGCATTTCAAAGTGAAAATTATATTTCAAAATGAAATCATATTTGCTCAATCCCACCACAATTATATCGCAAACATTCACCAAATGTTCTGTAATTTTTATGTTTGCTTCGGAGCCGACCATTCGACACAGCGAAACAGATTGCCTCCTCGGATGCTTACCTTATCAAAATGCTGAAAAGATTTTTGTTTAGACAAGCCTAGCCAGATATTTAGAAAGTTGTTGTGAGCGTTAACTCTATTTTTGGTTCGTTGTTATTTTCGCTTTCCAAAAATCTCAGAGTTTTGCTAATAATTCTTATTGTACAAGTGTGATCTTGCCCCCATATGAAACAGTGATGGCTCCCAATCTAGATGGCTTTGAAAAAGGATTGGACAAATTCATGGAGGTGATAGCTAGCAAACTTATTACTAGCCATGATGGCTATGCTCTGCCTCCACAGTTGCTTCTTATTATTATTATTATTATTATTATTATTATTATTATTATTACTGAATTTATATACCGCCCTATACCTGGGGGTCACTAGCGGTTCACAGAATAAAATCAAGATATAAAACTACAAAATACATAATAAAAATTACAACCCAATAGTCCCACCCCAAAAATCCCCACATTTTAAAAGGGCATAGGATGTAAATCAGATCAACCAAAGGCCTGGTTAAAAAGGAACATTTTTGCCTGGCACCTAAAGGTGTATAATCAAGGCACCAAGTAACTTCTCTGGGGAGAGCATTTCACAGATGGGGAGCCCCTGCAGAGGCCTGTTCTTGTGTTGCCACCCTCCAGACCTCTCAAGGGGTTGCTTCATATGGGAAGAGGCAGTCCTTGAGGTATTGTGGTCCTGAGCTGTTTAAGGCTTTGTAGGTCAAAACCAGCACTTTGAATTGGGCCCAGAAACTAACTGGTAGCCAGTGCAGTCGGACCAGAATTGGTGTAAACTGTCTTGCTCCGGTGAGCAACCTGGCCACTGAACTCTGCACTAGCTGAAGTTTCTGAACCGTAATCTAACCTTGAGGTTACCAGAGCATAGACAACAGTAGGAAGAAGAAGAGGAGGAGGAGGAGGAGGAGTTTCGATTTGATACCCCACTTTATCACTACCCTAAGGAGTCTCAAAGCGGCTATCAATCTCCATTTCCTCCCCCCCCCCACAACAAACACTCTGTGAGGTGAGTGGGGCTGAGAGACTTCAGAGAAGTGTGACTGGCCCAAGGTCACCCAGCAGCTGCATGTGGAGGAGCGGAGACGCGAACCCGGTTCACCAGATTACGAGTCCACCGCTCCTAACCACTACACCACACTGGCTCTCTCTGTCTGGATAGGGGAGTTGCTAGAAGCCAGAAATGGGATAGTGCTCTTGCGTTTGGGTCCTGCTTGAAGGTTTCCCACAGGCATCTAGTCGGCCGCTGTGAGAATAGGGTGTCTAACTAAATGGGCTATTGGCCTGATCCAACAGGCTCTTGTGTTTTTTATGCTCCTCCTACAACTCATCTGTATAACCACCTCAGACAACAGCATTTACAATAGCAGCTGTGCCTGCTGCCCTAATCCCGCCAGACTGGTCAGGGCAATGTGATACAGAAAGAAATGTCCCTACTCTGAACTGGCAACATTGGCTTCCCGTAACATTGCTGCACTGTTGATTCTGTTGAGCTGTTTGGCATTGTGACATCAGCAAAGTAATCCCTGATTGGCTGGAATAGCATTATGAAGAAGACTCCTCAGTAGGACCAAAAAAGCGGGCACCAAAACAGCCTCCTGGAAAAGAAGTGGACAACAGGCACCCTGGGAGTCTCTCACCACTTGGAGATTGGGGTGGGACAAAGCAATAGCCTGATCCTCATCCTAATGTGTGCCCTGCAGTTGCTGCAGGAAGGAATCGTGATGTCCATAGATGGGACTAAAGATCTGGTCCAGGATCAACACAGCCAAGACTTACATGCAAGCAACATATGAAGCAGCCTTCTGTTGAATGTGTAGTACAGCTTCTTCTACAGCTTGAGATAGTTAAATTGTGTGGAAATGGACTGGATGGCACTTGTGCCACTAGAAAAAGACAGGAGGTGAAGCATTAAGAAGAGTTTTGGATTTGATATCCCGCCTTTCACTCCCCTTAAGGAGTCTCAAAGCGGCTAACAATCTCCTTTCCCTTCCTCCCCCACAACAAACACTCTGTGAGGTGAGTGGGGCTGAGAGACTTCAAAGAAGTGTGACTAGCCCAAGGTCACCCAGCAGCTGCATGTGGAGGAGCGGAGACATGAACCCAGTTCCCCAGATTATGAGACTACCGCTCTTAACCACTACACCACACTGGAGCAGGCAGAGGTCTACATGTAAGGAAGATCTTCATTCTCCCAGACAATCTATGCTTAAAATGTAGAAATGCTGGAGAAGCTTTGTCCAGGCAAGGTGGCTGCTTCTTATGCTGTCAATGGAATGCATATTTAGGCTGGAGATGGAAGAGTTTTTATGCTGCTTGAAGGTGAAAATGGGACAGCCCTGCTTCTTAGCTCTCGCCTCCTCTGTGAGCTGTCCAAGGTACTGATGCTGAATTAAACACTACATGCCATCAACTCTGCAGCCTATTGATGGTTAACACTGCAGGTGCAGCTCTCCTATGAAATTCACTCTCAAACAAAAAACTATCTAGAGGTGATTGCTGGTTGGATGTGTATGTCACTTTCCCATTTTTGTCTTTTATCTTGCCTTGTGGACTCCGACACACCTTATGAATTCAGCTCCAAGAGTTCACTGCGCATAGTGAATGGAATTCCATTATAATTTTCTCCTGTTTTCCACCTCCCAAATATATAGCACAATTTACTTTTGAGGTGTACACTTGATGCTTCCCATTCCCTGTTATTTTATACCATGGTGTTGCAACATTAGAGATAGACTTGATGGTTTCTGTATTTTGTAACCCGTTAGAGTAAGAAGTAGGAAGCAACTGTAACAGTTTGAACTGGTCAGCCTAGTAGTAGAATAACGCTGATTATTTGTATGTGGTTTTTTGAAAACTCCAATCAGAGTCTGGAATTACAGGTGATACTCTGCAATGCAGCACCTTTTCTTGAATAACTGGGCTTTGAACATATCACCAGTTTTCTTTCAGAACTAAACTAATGAGGCTCCTTCATTTGCCTTTTCTCTTGACTAAAGCTGCCTTCTGCAAATTTTGGCAGACAGTCAAAATATTGACTAAACAATGACGGGACTCTCAGTATATACAGTCTGTCTCTGGGAGACCACAGGAGTCAGTGGGGATGGTGTGTGTGTGTGTGTGTGTGTGTGTGAGAGAGAGAGAGAGAGAGAGAGAGAGAGAGAGAGAGAGATGAAGCTGCTGTAGACTGAACATTTACTACTGTAGAGCCTGCATTTTACACATCCTAGTCTTGCTGAAATTGAAGCAGTTGTAATTCAATCTACTCCACACCATTTCTCTTCATGGGCCTTGTTCCAGAACAATGCATCACTTGGGCTTTGCTCCATTTACCCCCCAAAAGCCGTACATTGTCCTGACTATATAAAATCCTAGGCACAGAGTTGAGATGCAGGAAGCATCTCCAAGATATATTCACCCAGATATCTCAACAACTTTTTTAGAAGACGCAGCACAACATGAAAGCCACCCATCATCTTGGCGATCTTTCAACAAACTTAACAGCTGGTGCATGTCAGGGCAAGAGGTGTGGTATGTTTTGGAAATACTTTATTAAACATTTGCCGTAGCCAGGTCAGAGATTTTAGGTCATCTCATCATCTGGTCAATCTCCTTGAGGACCCCATCCCCACTCTGAATAAGTGTCACTTGTTTGTATAGTTTTTTTGTATCTGATTAAACAAAGTTTAACTTTCTGCCATTGCTGGTGGGTTTTGACTTTGTGATCTGGCAATCAAAGTATTTTCTAAAAGGCCTGAAGCTGTTACAACATTCTCTCCACCACATGGGGAAGAGTCCAGCTCGTTTGGAACTATGGGGAGTGGAAGGGTGTCCCATTGATCAGCACTCCGACTTGTCAGCAGGGGAAGAGAGATTTCTAGGACCAATGCACAGTTCATCATATTGTCCTTTCCGGGTGGGGGGGGGTAGATAGGAAGGTGCAGAGGATAATGAGGAGCAATTGCCACTCCTTTTTAACCCTTCCCATTCAGCAGTTCCAGCTACCTTTTTTTAAAAAAAGAAAAAGCCTTTGAGTAGTCTGCTCTAGCAGCAACTGATCTTGCTTAGCTAGACAAAGGCGGTGGCTTCTAGAAAACTTGATTCAGTAGCAGATATAACTGCTAAATAGTACCGTATTTTTTGCTCTATAAGACTCACTTTTTCCCTCCTAAAAAGTAAGGGGAAATGTGTGTGCGTCTTATGGAGCAAATGCAGGCTGCGCAGCTATCACAGAAGCCAGAACAGCAAGAGGGATTGCTGCTTTCACTGCGCAGCGATCCCTCTTGCTGTTCTGGCTTCTGAGATTCATAATTTTTTTTTTCTTGTTTTCCTCCTCCAAAAACTAGGTGCGTCTTGTGGTCTGGTGCGTCTTATAGAGCGAAAAATATGGTATTTTGTTGATGTGGAGCAACAACAGATGCAGCTCTATTCTCCCAGTCTAAGAGAATAGAGAATGATGAGACACCCAGTCCTTGAAGTCGCTTCTCTTTTAGGTCAGAAGGATGACTGTGAATCTGGACAGTAATTTAATTTTACCTTATCATTATCAAAAGCCATTTCTCTGTGTAGCATCCTAAAATAAATTTAGGAAACCATGTTTTAAATTATTTAATGTACTTCAAAACTGAGAATAGACAACACACCATAATATACATTTAACATTGTGACATATATGTACATGTATTCATGGAATGGTGTTTATTTTGCAAAGGGAACCATAGGCCTAGACTGCTTGGGGGACATTCCCACTATCCATCCTTCTTCCTTCCCTAATCTTTGATCACAAATTCCTTCCAGGAAACCACGCAGTTATTAGGAGCAGGAGTGGTGAGAGAATTTGGGACTAGACAGATACTTGAAGGCAGGGGTAGTCATTGTGGTTCCCTCCCGATGTTGTTGGACTGCAACTGCTTTGATTCACTGACCACTGGTCATGATAGAACTTGATGGAAGTTAGAGCCCAACAGCATCTAGAGAGCATCACATTGTCTACCTTTGCTTTAAAGTATTCACCTAGATGAAGCCTTTGGTCGTCATCTCTTGTGAGTCCTTGATAAGTTGTCTCCTCCTTTACTTTGTATTTTAACAGGAGAATAGTTGTAACTGATTCCCTGAAGATGAGTGTTATTCTAAATGTGTTCACATTTCATTTTGTCCTTGATCAGACTTTTTGTACTTAATAATATTATAACCTTTATTCTGCACCTGAGTCATTTCCCACATTTTCTTTCTATTTTTCAGTGGTGGGTGGGTGTTCTTCCTTTTTGCATCATCTACCTTTCCCATATCAATCTGCTTCTTTGCATATAAATATACCCACTCATCATCCATCCCCTCAGCCTAAACATTTTCACACCCACTCCCTTTCTGGAGTCCCAGGAAACTAGAATCCAGCCATCATCTGCTGGGTCCTAATAACCTACAATGTCCACTTCTATCCTTCCTGCATGCCCCAACAGACAAAAATTAAAAATGAAATCTTCTCAGGATAGATTCAATAAGTACTCCACTCAGTTCTGGACTGGATTGGCAGGGGGAAGGTCTCAGCAAATGCACACATAGACTTTTCGCTGTTGAAGTGTGAGGGGAACACAGTCCAGGTAGAGCTGTCCATTGTTCTTTTGACAAATATATCAAGACAATACTTGTGACATGTGAGTCTTCAAAGTCATGCCGTTTCTGCACTGTCCAATAGTGGTGTAAGCGCAATCGCTTTGCACACTAACAGATCAATGTCAGCAAAAGTACTCATTCGGCTGTCCCTCTGCCTTTGGTATTGCTTCTGAGTCCACACTCGACCTGGCAGAGAGCAACCTATTGGATTCGTCGGGTGTGTGTCTAGTCAAGTATTCCCCTTCCATTCCTTTGGCTTTGGCGCCTGGAGAGAGGCTTTCAAAGGTGACGTAAGAGTCCTGGATTTCCTTGGGTTTCCGGGTGAAACATTTTTTGCAGCGCCGTTTCAGCGCCCCGCAACACACCACTAACGTCAGAGGGACGGCAATGACGCAGGCCACGCTGATGACCACAACGTTGATAAGTTTCTGGGTTCCACCTGCACTGGCTACTTCATCCGTGGAAAAGATGATGCACTGCTCTTTCCTGGGAATCAGCCCTTTCACACAGACACACACTATATATTTGGTCTTCGGCATCAAGCCATTGATAGTGATCTTGGTCTTACCTGGCTCCACGTTAATTCTACGCATATCCCTTTCTCCAAAGATTGCATAAAGGATGCTGAAGACGGTCGTATTCTTGGCTTGCGGAGCTTTCCATGCCAAGGAGACACTGTGATCGGTATCTCCTATGACTCTGACAGACCTCACAATGCGCTCTGGCTCCTGTTGGGCAGTAGGCGGACTCGCTAAGAGATTTCTTGGGTTGTTGATCATATTTAGTGCCTGATCTCGAAGTGCCAGGTTCCCTTCTGTGTTGGCACGAATGGACCGAGCACCCATGGTAGGGGAAGTTGACGTGGTGATCACGTACCTGGCTACCAAATTGTCGTTGTAAGCCGCTGCTTCCATCCCACTCACTTTTCCATTCCATGTCCCTTTTGAGTTTGTGGTGGGGTCATCTGTGCTTTCTGAGTCAGTGATGATAAGGGAGATGAAAGCTTCTGTTGCTCCAAGGAAGTTTTTTGCTTTGCATATATATTCTCCAGAATCAAGGTAAGAAACGACAGGCAAGCCTAGAATAGACCAGCTCATTCCATCGCTGGAAATTTCTTGGTGCACTGGAAGGAAGAAACAGGATGAAATTCAGTAAAACGGACTGCTTAGATTCCATTCCCCTCTCTTTTAGATAATCATGTCATTACCTAAAAGTTATCATTGTTCCGATAACTTCATTGGATTTCTACTGAATTAGGACATTAGTTCATCTTTTTTATAAAAAAAAGGTAAAGGACCCCTGGACGGTTAAGTCCAGTCAAAGGCTGATGCTGGCTTAGTCATGTGTGCTAAGTCCAATCAAAGGTGACTATTGGGTTGCGGCGCTCATCTCGCTTTCAGGCCAAGGGAGCCAGCATCTGTCCACAGCCAGCTTTCTGGGTCATGTGGCCAGCATGATTAAACTGCTTCTGGTGCATTGGAACACCATGACGGAAACCAGAGCACACGGAAATGCCATTTACCTTCCCGCCACAGCAGTACCTATTTATCTACTTGCACTGGTGTGCTTTTGAACTGCTAGGTTGGCAGGAGCAGGGACAGAGCAATGGGAATTCACCCCATCGTGGGGATTTGAACCGCCAACCTTCTGATCAGTAAGCCCAAGAGTCTCAGTGGTTTAGACCACAGCGCCACCCGAGTTCTGCAGTTATCTTTACCTAGCCCATCTAGATCAGTGATGCATGTAATGACTGAAAGCAGCTCTCCTGAGTTTCAAACAGGAAGTACTTTGCATCCCTACCTGGTGTTTTTGAGGAATGAACCTGGGACTTTCTACTTGCAAAGCGTGTGTTCTACTACTGAACTATGGCTGTTCCCTAAACATCAAAGTACATCAGATCAGAATAGATTTTACAGTGGTGTCATTCTTAAGATGATAGCCCAGTTGAGACCAGAAGTGGTGCTCTGCTTGGTTGGACAAACTTCCATCTGCTCCACCCTGAACGCTTGAGCAAAAGTTGTAGACATTACTCAAGTGAGCTTGGGAACAACCATAGCAGTGGCAAGAACATCCCTCTGTTTAAGAACTGCCTTGCTAACTAGAACCAGTGTGGTCCAGCAATCTTTTTCCAATAGCAGCCAGCACAGATGCCTTTAGGAATCTCAGAAGAGGATGACAGCCACCTTCTGCCATCTGTCTCCAGAATCCGGTTACCAGATACATACCCCTCCCCCCCCAGACATGGAGGCTTCCCTTTAGTTACGATGGCTAACATCCATTGATAGACCCATTATCCATGCAGTTGTAGAATCCTTTTAAAAGCCATCTCTAAGCTAGTGTCCAAAAGTCAATTCACACTGTGTGAAGAAGTGCTTCCATTTATTCAGTTCCCAAGGGAGACACCTGAGTCCCAGTGTTAATAAAAAGACCATTCCTGCAACCATTCTTGGAGCACCATTGTTTAATAAACCTCAACCAGGTCCCACTGAAAATCCTCAGATGCTTCTGCTTTTCATTAAAGGGAAAGTGCTCTGAACACATGATCATATCAGTTGCCGCTGTTTATAGCAGGAATGGGGTACCTGTGCTGTGGTCCTCCAGGTGTTGTAAGACTCCAGTTACCATCAGTCTGAGCCAGCATGACAGTGGTCAGGGATGATAGGAGGTATAGCCCAACAACATCTAGATGGCCACAAGTTCCCCATCCCTAGTGTATTTCTAAAGAAGTCTAATTAGGGCCCCATGATATCTTTTGACATAAGAACAGGATGCCTTTGCAGATGCAAGATGCTAATGCAATTTACAGTATATCATTAAACCATGACCTGAGCAGCAGGCTTGGGCTACAATGCTATACCCATTTACATGAGAATAATCACCATTAAATTAACAAGGTCTTATTTCTGAGTAGGCATGTATAGGATTGTAACTGCGTAGCTCAAGAAATCATCTGCCCTTGGAACAGATTATTTCTGCTGGCTTTAAATGCTGTTGTGCTGCTTATGTTGGTTTTTAGGCAGCGAACCACATCAATTGATTTTTAATGTCTCAATTAATGTTCCAATGGCTTAATTGAACATGGCTTGAACTTGATGAAAACTGCCCAAAGGACTTTGTTGAATGTTCTAACAAATTATTTAGCAGAGCTAAAGGTAAAGGACCTCTGGACGGTTACCGTTAAGTCCAGTCAAACTTGACTATGGGGTTGTGGCACTCATCCCTCTTTTAGGCTGAGATAGCTGGCATTTGTCCATGGACAGCTTTCCAGGTCATGTGGCCAGCATGACTAAACTGCTTCTGGTGCAACAGAATCCGGTGACGGAAACCAGAGTGCACGAAAATGCTGTTTACCTTCCTGCTGCAGCGGTACCTATTTATCTACTTGCACTGGTGTGCTTTCGAACTGCTAGGTTGGCAGGAGCTGGGACAGAGCAACGGGAACTCACCCCCTCACACGGATTCAAATCACTGACCTCCTGATTGGCAAGCCCAAGGGGCTCAGTGGTTTAGACCACAGCAGCACCTCTGTCCCATTTAGCAGAATCCTTTAGGGACACCATTACGCTCTTCTTTACAAACACAGTCACAGGGCCTGCAACCGAAAAAGGAGAGCCTACCTGTGCCATTTAGAGGGTTTCCATCAGCCCTCCTCCAGCTTAGCTCAGGAATGGGCACTCCCGTGGTGCCGCAGCGCAGAAGCACAGTGCTTCCCAGTATGGTCCTCACTTTGGCGACGGATGTGTGCACGACGGGACTCTGACACTTCCGCAGTTCAACCTGGCTGAAGAAAACTCCGGCCAAGCTCCGGGGAGTGAAGCATTTCAGTCTGGATTCAATGAACGCTACATTGGGGGACTGGAAGTTGAGGAAGTGGACCATTTCATAGAGGCTGCAGTCGCACGTCCAAGGATTGTCCTGCAAACCTGGGAAGAGAAGGAAGCGTGTGTCACTAGCCCAAAAATGGAAAACAGATAAGGTACCCACAAAAGAAGAATGGCATATTAAACTGTTAGAATATGTGGAGCTTGCAGGAATGACCACTGGAATAAGAAATGTAAATGATTAAAGATATAAGGAGCACTGGATATTGTTTATTGAATATATGAAAAAGTATTATAAGCAAACAATCTACCTAGCAGGATGGTAAGATTTTCAGCAGGGTAAGAAATAAAGTTTATAAAAGTAGTTACAATAGATGGGGTGAACCAACAAAACATGGGGAAACGAGATAAAAAAGGAACCATGGAAGGAGAGAAGTTGGCTAAGGAATGTTTTTTGGTCTATTTTTAGAAATTTTAAATTGCAACCTCTTTTTTATTTCAGAGATTCTTTTCTTATTGTGTTCTTTTTGTCCATATTTCGCTGACATGGAATTATGCAAATAATTAAAATGATAAAAAGGAAGAGCCTGCTACATCAGGTTTGAGGCCTATCTAGCCTATGGGACACCCACAAATAGGACCAAGTGCAACAGCATTCTCCCTAAACTTAGATGTAGTTACTGCTCTTAATTTATCATTTTTCCAATCTTAAATTGAGTTTTCCACATTTCCACAGCAATCTGCATTAAAAAAAAATAATTCCTCATCCAAATCACATATTTGTGCAAATTTCTCCTGAGAAACACACTGGACTCAGCTACGTTAGTAAAGAAAAAGCATGTTATATGAGTTATAACACTGTGACACCAGATGGCACTGTGAATATCTTTTGCCAACAGGATTTCCCTTTATGAAGCTTACAATGCATTTAACTGCATGGCTTTTTTGATGTGTCTAGATCCAGCCACTCTTGAATGCAATCCTGCCTAATATACACATTTTTGCAAACCAATGTCCCCCAATATAGTGAATGCTATTTTCACCAAAATCTGCATCACACAAAGAGAGAGAGAGAGAGAGAGAGAGAGAGAGAGAGAGAGAGAGCTTACGCTTATATGCATTTTTGCACACATTACATGACTGGAAAACTGCACTGCAAAAATTCAGAAAAGTGCCATTTTCAAAGGATGGCTGTGTTTGAGTTTGAATATTGTTTCAGAAAGTGCTTCAGAAAGCGAATTTCTCCTCCACCCTTAAGCATAGTAAATTATATGCCCTAAAAAGGTAATCCAAAGCTGGTCTTGATCTTGCAAATAGGTTCAATATTTAATATATTTAGATTTTGAAGAGTTTTCAACACACATACATTTTCTGTCCTTGATATAAATGCCTTGGGGTGCAAAAAATGTGCTTCAAAAATGTCCATCTCTGGAAGATGAGGAAGGTGAATCTCAGTAAGGGGATCTTCTGAATTGTATATTGTTGTTGTTATTTAGTCACATTTTTTCACTCAAGTGCCTCAAAGTAACACAGTAAAGTAAAATAGCACAGATATCAAAAATCAGATAAACACACATAATAGCAATACACAAAAACAAAAATATTCATCTGACAATATATTTAAACAGAAAAAGTCCTCCCCATCCCACTTAAAAGATCACCACAACACAGGCCACTAACATATCTAACTATTCTTCCTATTACCCTCCTATACTCCAGTAACAGAACGTGCTCCGTTCCCATTCCTACTGCCAAAAATTACACATAGTTTAGTACCTTTTAAATGCTAGCCAAAGGTACTTCTGTTTACCCAAGATCTTTGCTAATATTCAGTTATGCAATTGTAATGTGATTATTTGTTCCTACTTTGGTTAAATGATTTATTTTCCCTCTGATGTGATTTGAATGCCACCATGTGGCAGAAAGAGGGCACAAAACATCTAAAATGTTGCCGTTTAGTGTATCTGTGTACTCTCTGGGTTCCTTAGCAGCAAACAGGATGCAACCGCAACAAATCATTATCATTCTTCTTTAAACCTGGAGTAGGGTTGCCATACTTCAAACAGTGAAAATCCGGACAGAAATGTTATTGAGTTTTTTGGGCAAAGTCGGTGAGCTTTCTTTTCATTGTTTCTGGGGTTTGGGGCCAAAGTTGTTGAGCTATTTTGGGTCTGGCCAAAGTTGTTGAGGTGTTGTTGTTGTTTTTTGCAAAATCACTAAAGAAAATTTAGTGATTTTTAAAAATCTATTTTTATAGAAAATCGACATGAACCACCATACGTCCGGATTTTCCCAGACATTTGGGCAATTTCCGCCCAGACAGTACTGCCAACCGCACTATTCTAGATATGTCCTGGAAAACTGGGATATATGGCGATCCTAACCTGGAGTAACGTAAGAATTTATACAAGGCATCAGGACTGTTGCTATTGAGACTCTTATGCCCCTTCCCTACCTTACCATTGCTGGCTGGACTATTCCTTATGTGCATAACCGGGAAATGAAATTCTCCTATGGTATTCTGTTCAATAATTTGTTGATGCCCACCAAACCACCTTGACACAAACACATCATAAGAAGAGCCTCCCAAATCAGGGCAATGGCCTGTCTAAAATCCTTTTCTAATTGTTGTTATAATATTTATACCCCACCCCTCTGGCTGGGTTTCCTCAGCCACTCTAGCTGACTCCCAGCAGACCAGGTGGCGATGAGATGCCCACAAGCAGGAGCTGAGTGCAAAAGCATTATCCCCGCCTGTGATTCTAGCAAATGATATTCAGAGGCAAATTGCTTCCAACAGCATAGACAGAAAATAGTCATTGTGGCAAGTAATAGCCGTATCCTCCACAAATTTTTCTAACCATCTTTTAAAGCCATCTAAGATAGTGGCCATCATTGCCTCTTGTGTGAGGAAATTTAAATGCTTATGCACTTTGCCTCTTCTGGATCTTCTAGGACTCAACTTCCTGAGTTCTAGTATTAATGGAGAAGGGCCAAAACTTTCTCACCATTTTCCACACTTTCCACTATCTTCCTCCTTTATATCATCATCATCATATATATATATATAAAATTTTTATTAAATTTTCTGTTTTACAAGTTAGAATATTCATTTAGACAACCATAAAATATCAATGACTTCCATTCTTCTCTTTCCATGGTTCATTTTGCATTGCATAGCATAAATCCCTGCATATTTTAGGTAAACTAAATCATTCAGTAGTCCATTGTTACTTCCATCAAAACTTGTTTACACTGTTGAATTTATCTTAATGCTGCCAGCGTTTTCAAATGTACACAATATCCCCCCATATATTCAATAAATGTTTTCCAATCTTCATTAACATTATGTTCTTCTTCTTCTCTCATTCTATAAGATAGGTCCACAAGCTGCACATATTCCATCAGTTTAAGCTGCCATTCTTCTTTAGCTGAGACCTTGCTCGTTTTCCAGTTTTGGGCTAACAAAACATGGGCCACTGTAGTGGCATGCATAAATAGCCTTTTTTGAGACCTGGGAATTTCCATCCAGATTATCCCCAACTAAAAGGACTCTGGTGGAGTTGTTGTTGTTTTTTAAGGTCCTTTTAACCTTTTTTTTAATTCATTATAAATTATTTCCCAATACTGTTTTACCCTTTTACAGGTCCACCACATATGAAAGAACATACCATCGACCTTGTTGCATCTCCAGCACTTATCTGATTCAGTCTTACTCATCTTAGCAAGTCTACTCGGAGTTAAATACCATCTGTAAATCATTTTCAATGATTTCTCATGTGGCTTTTACTTGCTGCTGCTGTTTTAAACTGTCTGGGGTTTTTTTTTATTTGCACGATTTTACTGCTTCTTTTAACATCTTTGTCTGGTCCTGAGCAAGTTTATTGGAAAAGCAGTCTATAAATATCACGGGAGAGGAAGCAAAGATTGTCCAAAAGACTGCAGAGGGAGAAATGTGGCAAGCTTGCCTATTTGTTGAAATTATCCTAGTATGTTTCTGCTTTAATTTTTTAGGATAAAAATATCCAGTGCCGGATTCTAAATCTCTTTAGGCTAGCCAAATTTCTCCTGATTATCTTCATCACTCAGAGAAAGAATAGTTCAAGATCACAGCTTCTGTGATCCAAAAGACAGATATAGCCCAGAAAGCAGATCACCAATATTATAGCTTCAGCTTGCAGTATGATGTGTTATTGTGTACCCATGTGGTCTGGTTGCCTTCTCCTGTCGCATGCTTTGTAGCCTCAGGGGCAAAGTGATGTGTTTACAGCACCGACAGTCCCCTACATAGCCTCTAACCATTCTGAAAAGAGTGCTTTGAATTTGCTTCTGCATTCATTGGATGCCCTTCTAATGGCCAATGCACACTTGATGCAAGTCTCTCTCCACAGATGTTGACTCTTGGAATTTCTCCAGGTCAAACAGAGGTTGATTCTGGCCATTCCTTCTTCTCTGCTTCACTCCTTGTTTCTGGTTCTAACCAGCCCTAATTCCTCACCCAAGATCATGAATGACTCTGGTATTTGTGGGTAGAGGTTCAGCATGTCACAGCGATTGAAAGGTCAACACAAAACCTCGGGGAAGCACATGCTTTGCGCTCAGAAAGCAAGTTCAGTCCCAAGCAACTCCACATGAGGGCTGAGAGATATTCCTGTCTGAACCCTTGGTGAGTTATTGCCAGTCATGTACTGAGCTGGATTACTCAGGTAGATTGATCAATGACATAGCTCTCAACCTTCCCTTTTTTTTGTAGGAAATTCCCTTATTCCAGCACCATTTCCCGCTGCTTCCCGCTGCTATCCCAGATTGTTAGATATCCCATAGACTGTCCCCGGGACAGGTGAGGCTGCTGATCCCTTATTTTCGAGGCTGCTGATCCCTTATTTTCAAATCTGAAAGTTGACAGCTATGATCAACGGCTTGATTCAGCGGCCTCATTCATATGTCACTATAAGTCAAACAATGTTATACTGGGACTGATCACACCCACTTTGTTCATCCCTGAACCTTTCAGCACAGCGTAATGTAGCAGCTAAGTGAAGATCTGGATTAGGGTGCCATCTGAACTCAGGACCATGGTTTAGACCATGGTTTTCAACCTT